GGACAATCTCTGGGTCCTCCTAACCAATAACTTGTAGGAACCTGTAATGTGAGAAAAAAAAATCATTCTTGAGAATATCTGAAGGCAATTCAGAGATAAAGTGAAATTCTCACCCCCAACCTCTCCTCCTCTCTCTCTATGTGTGTGTGTGTGTTTTAGTTTTTGTGTATAATACATGTTTAGTATCTTTTTATACCACCTGGAAATGATCATGACATTTTGGATCAAATTATACTATTACCATCTATGTGAGTAACTATGTTAGTTCTCTGCCTCCCCATTGTCCCTTTCCTGGGATGACCTGCTGGCAGCCATGTGATTACACTTTTGCTTGTGCAGAAGGATTTGCAATTGTTGCAGGAGAGGAATGAGTTCATAGCTTTGATCCAGGAGCTTATTTGGTGAAGAACAGTTGTTTAGCAGCAGTCTGACATTCTAAAGTGGGCAGATGAAGAGAGGGAGGAGGAATCATATGAACAAGGAAGGTCAAGACCATAATGAGAAAAACCACAGAGATAGCTGACCTGAGCTAGTAGGAGCTCACGGGCTATGAACTGATAGTTGGGGAACCTGCATGGAACTGAACTAGACCCTCTGAATGGGGGTGACAGTTATGTGGCTTTATTTGTTGCAGAGGGTGCTGGCAGTGGTACCAGGACCTAACCCAGAGGCATAAACTGTCTTTTTTATATCCAATTCCCTATGGTGGGATACCTTGTTCAACTTTGATACAAGGGGAGGGGCTTGATCCTTTTTCAACTTCATAAGCCAGACTTTGTGGACCACCCAAGGAAGGCCTTACCCCCTCTGAGGAGTGGATGGAGGTGGGGAGGCGGAGGTAGGGGACAGGAGAAGGGGAAGGAGGGGAAAGTGGGTTGGTATGTAAAATGAAAAATAAAGTTTTTTAAAATAAATATTTAAAAAATAAAAAAAGGTTAAAAAATAGGCTGAGTACACAACAAGCTAGCAGTCTTAAGTAATCCCAGGTGTATTATTAACTCATGTGTGAGGTTCAGCAAAAGTTCTAGTCTCTTAGGAAGTAAGAGGAATTTTCGTAATACTACATCACCACAAAGGAGCTTTCTTTGTATAGAAAACTCTAACATCACAGATATGGCCACATCCACAGTGTTTTTTTATGCTAATCTACCTAGATTATGGTATCAGATAACTATATAGAGATCTATAAGTTAAATACAATCTCTTGTTAACTTAATATCTGAAAAGGAACCTAGTCTTTGTCCACATAGAAATCACAAGTCATGATACTGAGCTTCCTAGAAGTAGTGTGTAGAACGAATAATAAAAACCCAGATATTGAGATTGAGGTTCAAGCTTCAAGATGAAAACCAGAGAAGCAAGGCAGCCAAACCAGTAGTAATTACTCTATCTCAGACTGAAAGGATGATCTGGATAGCTCCATGAATCCTCAGAGACAAGTGCTCTCCTTGTTTGGAAGCTAAATCTCCATATGAGATTCTTCCTTTTATACCTGTCTCCACCCAGCCCTACCTCCCTAATGCTTGGATTAAAGGCATGTGATCCCAAGTGCTGAGATCATCTTAGTGTGACCTGTTTCTCTTTTGAACAGAGATCCATCTGCCTGTCTCCTGAGTCCTGGTATTAAAGGTGTATGTCACTACTGTCTGGCTCTGTGGCTTGTGGCTAGCTTTGCTTTCTGTACCCTCGGGCAAGCTTTAGAAAATCATAAATAATATATTATCACAATAGTGTGATTTGAGTAGGGCTATGTAATGTTCAAATAGTTTGGGTGAGATCATTTTCAAAGGACTTGGATTTGTAAACAATAATCCACAAGGCCTTGATGATTTGGGAGGTTATGAACCCTGGGAACCATAGGCATGCCTGGTTGGATGCCTGTGGCGAGCCTCTTTGCTTTCTCCCTCTCTTTTACTTTCTTCTTTCTCTGCCCTCTCTCTTCTTTGTTTCTTGATATCCCAAGATGTTAACAGGCCAAGCTGCATCACCTGGTTTGTCCAGCTCCAAATGGAATCCTTTTGTGCCTGGCAAAGAACATAAACTTCAACCATTCACTCCTCTGTTGTTCTAATTATGTAGTATTCTCATCATAGTCTGAAGCATTGGCTCTTATGTATACAGTTTTTTTTTAACTCTCTTAGTTAGACTTTCATCATTGTGACACATACGTGAAAGACACAGGATTTATTTCAACTCATGATTTGAGAGGCTTTATAATTTATAGTCCACACGCTCTTGTTTCAAGGTAGTGATGAGACAATAGGGTATGGCAGCAGAGTAGGAGCAAGAGACACAGAGACAGACACAGAGACAAAGGTGAAGAGACATCAGTGTGAGATACAACCCTCAATGCCACAATGCAATCGCCTACTACCTACAATGAGATCTATTATCTAAAATACCCCAGACTTCCCAAAAATGATTCCACATGTTCAGAACCAAGCACTCAATATTTCATCCTGTGGGAAACATTTCAAATTTAAGCAGTGAGAATATTTCCTACTATAATTCATATGTTTCAGAGTTCATCCCTGTTTGTACATAAAAGGATAGGACAAAATTGGAACCCGAAGTGTTTGGGGTCTCAGTGAATGAAATGGAAGGATGAATGAATGAGAGAGTGAATGAGTTAATCCTTTAACCACAGCACTGAGTTACTATATAGGCCAAGATTAACTCATTCACAAAACACTGGGTGAAACCCAGTGTTGTTGCTGTTTCCTGTTGTATAGAGTGAACCAGACTTCAGAAGTACAAATCTCTTATGGATTTTGATGTGTGTGCATATGTGTGAGTGTGTGTATGTGCATGTTTGTGTGTGTGATATGTATGTTACTTTGGCGACATGCTATTAAAATTTTCTCAAACTATAAGGGAGTTTTTCCAACAACTATGCCTCCATTTTGCTCTTTTAACTCTCAATCTTTAAGCTGGTAAAATTTTTCTACATACTCTGGCTGGGAATTAATTATTTTTATTATGTCATCATTGCAAAACTTTACCGACCAGCCTTACAAAAATGTTTTTGTGTCTTTTTGTGGGGGAAAGGAGGGAACTGTTCTCATGTTGGGCAACTACTACTACAGTGAGCTGAGTCACAGCCCCACCTAGTGTCTTCCTTCAGAAATATCAGTAAGCACACATTTGAACACATTGTGAGATGGAAGGGTCTCATGCCACTATTTTTTATTTTAGAAAAGCAACTGACTTCAGAGAAAAATACTTAAAATTATAGAATAATTAGTTTATATTGACACTAAAAATTAAACAATTAAATTTATATTGACATTAAAATCTTTAACACATTTAGCTGGGGAGGTTTGCCAGTTAGTAAAATGCCTTCCATGCAAGCACAAGGACCTGCATTTGATACCCAGTTAAAATTAAATTTGGTCCAGTGGTAGTAGCAGTGGGAAATTCCTCCACTGGGGAGGTAGATGAAAGGGACTCCTTGGAGTTTACTGGCCAAGCAGTCACTGAATTAGGACACTCCAGGTTCAGTGAGAGACCCTGTCTCCAAAAATATGATGGAGATCACCTGAGGAAGAGAGTTGATCAACCTCTGGCTTCCATAGGTACTTCTCATAATAGCAAAAATAAAATAATACATTAGCATAGCTGTATCTCTTCCTACCTAAATTCCAAGAATTCCTCAGAATTGATGTCCATGTATAAGTGTTTCCTGGCCCAGATATTGTCTCTATTATTTCTCCATACATCATAACCAGTGTCTGCAAGCAGGAAGCCCAGACTGTTGTTGGGAAGGTTGGAGACCCAGGTACCAGCAGTTAATGTCCATCCATGTTACAAATACACTACTGGCTTTTGTGCTGACTGAAAAAAAGAAAAAGAAAAGAAAAGTGTTGCTGTTACTACTAGTAGTAGTAATACTAGCTTTATTAATTTTATGTGTAAAGGTGCTTTGCCTGTATGTATGTCTGTGTGCCACATTTGGTGTCCATGGATGACCTTGGATCCCCAAAGTTACAAATAGTTGTGATCTGCCATGCAAGTATTCATAATTGAATCTGGGTTGTCTGAAAGCATGGTCAGCTCTTAACCAGTGAATGAGTTATCTTCAAGCCCCTAATGCTAGTACTGTCATCATCATCATCACCATCATCTTAACATGTAAAACTGAGTATATTATGACATTTCTGCATGTAGACAATTTAAATTTGCTCATATAAATCTTATTACCTTCTGTTTCCCCCCACTCCCAGGGACCAGGCTGGTGAGAAAACTGCTCATAACACAGGTCTCTTTAGTATATCTCTGTTCAGCCATATTTTCTCCAAGTTCCTTTCTTAGATAAAAAACCGATCAAATTAAAATTTGATTCATGGAAAAGTTTGTCACCATGTAGGCATTAAACAAAACTTAATTTTTAAATGTTTATTTAAACTATTGCCAAGGTTCCATGGCACTTTTCAGGCAACAATTTATTTTTAATGGTTCCTATTTTTTCATTCCTTTTTGTTTCATTGAGAATTTCTAGTTGAAGATAGGGCAGTGGTATCCACAGAATCCATTTCACATTATATCCCGTTGGTGCTCAGTGAACCCATTAGGGCACAGAAGGTGATGTAAAATTTTCTGGTGAACCAAATGTCTGAATCTGTATTCCTCACAGCTTTGGAAAGAATGACTTACTTTCTACATTTCATAGATGGAGACGCTGATGTCAGAAAAGACATAACTTGTAGAAGTATACAATTTATAATGTCTGCTGCTGTAACAAAAACATCTTCCTGATTACAAAACCCCTTCCGGCCATCAAAAGTGACCTATAAGACCTGTGAAGAAATCCAGCTGTGGCACCCATCTCTACTGTTTTCTCAGTTCACTTGAGTCCTCCTCCTCCTCCTCTGAGGCCCAGGCTCAGGCTGTGCGTTCTAGATTTTTCTGCAGGGCCGGAAGGGTTCGGGGCTGTCCGCGGGAGCTCCCGGTGGAGGCCAGGGCAGGCTCTTTTGGTGTCGGCCACCGCTGCAGGCTTCCCCGCCCTCTCCGGCGCAGGCGGCCCGCCCACGGCACAGCCCTGACCCTCCCGGGGACACGGTGGCCGCGTGAGCCGGCGACACTCCGAGCCTCCGCCGCCGCCATGCTCCGGGTGCTGGTGGTGGGCGCCGGGCTGACCGGAAGCCTGTGCGCCGCGCTGCTGAGGAGGGCGGTAGCCGGGCCCCTGCACCTCGCTCTGTGGGACCAGGCTGGGGACGCAGGTGAGCGCTGGCTCGGCAGCAGCAGCAGGAGGAGGAGGGACTCCTGGGAGCAGCGGGCCCGCCACAGCACCGCCGCCGCGGAGGAAGGGCCGCCCAGCGGCTCGCACTCGGAGGAGGGCGCTGTCACGTGACCCGGGGCTGCTGCAGCCCGCCGGCTGCGTGCACGCGCGAATGGCCGTCCTGCTGGGGCCCGAGAGAATGGATGGACACCGACATCTGCCCAGCGTGGGCCCAGCCGCTGCCTGTGGGCTAGGCTGCTCTGCGCCTTTGCAGCTTTCTCGAGACTGTGCAGATTCCCGAGCCCCTCTTGGCCAAGCCTTTCCAAATGTCTAGAGGGAACGTCCTGATGAAGAGCCTTCTTTAGGCATTCTGGCGTTTCATCCGTGTCGTCTTACTCACCCATTCTTTTCGTCCGTTTGTTCAGGTCGACACAATAGGTACTAGTAACACTGAAAGGCAGTGGTACATTATGCATGAGTCCTTTATCTATTCAAATAAAAGAAAACTTACAATGAACAAATACCCAGGATAATAAGCGATGATAAAGACTTCAGTTTACATTAATAATGTTTTTAATGTCTTTGGACAAAGACAGGGAGCTGTAAAATTTTCCAAAGGTTCATTCTATGCACTGACAATTGCTTATGAATTATTTTAAGGGGGAAGAATGATTACTGCCAACAGTCCTCATAATCCCCGATGCACAGCTGACTTGGGAGCTCAGTACATCACCCGCACACCTCATTATGCCAAGAAGCATCAAGAGTAAGTTGGTCACTGCCTGGAGACTTAGTAGATAGGTGTATGACATAAAATGAAACAAATCATCCATTCTAATGCATTTTAAAACTTTGCCTCTTATGACAGTGAAATGTTCTTATCCTTGTGAAGACTGTGTGGAAGTATATATGGAAAAATAAAAAAGACTAAATACATTTTAGTAATTGTCACTGTTAGAGTTGGCAGCAATGAAAGTCAGTATTTCTTGCACATTTAAAATGGGGGCATATAATACTTTTCTATGTACTTGTCTTGACTTTACCTTTATTTCGAGAAATAGAAGTTATGAAATAAGCCATAATGTCAGTAGAAGATTTACAGATTCTTGAAGGATTTGTGTTCTTCCCCTGAATTACAAGTTTTGTTTAGTGCAGTATGCATTGAGTTGGGCATATACGGATTTATAATGTGATTTGTTATTTTAGAAGACATGCCAGTGGTTACAGAGTTAATCACACTATACATTTTCACATAATGATTTCAGATTTTATGAGGAGCTGTTGGCTCATGGGATTTTGGAGCCTCTGACCTCCGCTATTGAAGGAATGATGGTGAAGGAAGGAGACTGTAACTTTGTGGCACCTCAAGGAATTTCTTCAATTGTTAAGCACTACTTGAAAGAATCAGGTGGGACTTGGATTTCCTCTGCATTTTAAATTAAAGTTGTGCATTCAATGTTAGTATCATATAGAAGATTATAAAAATAGTTATCCTCTTGTCTTCTCCTTAAAACCAGTCTTTCCTTCCTTCAAAGTAAGCCTAATATCAGTTTGCAGTGTGTGGTTTTTTTCTTTTTTAACAAATGTTCATTTTCCTATTGAGCTGTATGGCTGTCTCCATTTACTATTGATCTGTTTATATTAATTTCCTTGAAATATGAACAAAGGGGGTTATTTTATATAAACTATTCAGTATCTTTTTTGTCATATCTTTGGCGTGTTTTTCACACCAACACATTTAATTTGTTTTGCTTTCTTTAATAGATGTCCAAAATAGTAGAGTATGTGTGTGTGTGTGTGATTCTTGTGTATATTTATATTTTAAGAAATGGGGGCTGTCTTGATTTTTGAGTTTTTCATTTCTCTGCTTGATATGCCTGTAGGATTAAATCCTAACAAGTTGTTTACTCTTAAAGACCATCTCATCAGTAGTGAGTGAGAATGTTCCTTACATCTGAATGTTACAGACATTTTAAATTTTTACCAGCATCATAGGTTAAAACAGCATACTTTTGTAGGTTTTTTAAATTTCCTAAGTTATAAGTAAATGTATACACCTTTTGTTTTGTTAACCAGCTCTTTGCATTTTTTCTTTGAATGTCTTATTCATAATTGTCATATTCTATTAGGATTTTAATTTTTCCTGTATGCATTTTATGAATGCTGTAACAATTTAGATTTCATAAACAGAACAAATAGAGGTTTCCTTGGGTAGCAAATTATTTTTCTGTTATAGAACAAACTTTCTTGGAAATTTGTAATTTGGCTAAGTACCCCATTCAAGATTACTACAGAAAGGTGTGGGCAGAAAATTTGGTCTTTCATAGCTATTTGTAGAATTATTGGTTTTCTTTGTCAAACATTACCTAAGAAAAGCCTCAAGAATCTGAGAATGAGAAGGGTCCATAAGATTGAATATACAACAGGACACCCAAAAAATGAAGTTCTGGGTTAGATCATTTCTGCATTTGAGATTTAGATGATGAAAGTGTAATTGAATTCTTCAGAGAAACAACCAGTGGAATATATTTTGTTCCCCCCTTCTTAATTCAGATATTCTACCTCTATTACCAACTATAGTCCAGAAACATTGAAAAGGGGCTAAGCATGGGGGCATATACCTGTTTTCTTAACACTTTGGAGGCAGTGCAAGATCACCACAAGTACAAGGACAACTTGGGCTACATAGTGAGTCCAGGCCAGGAAGGGCTGTACTGTGAGATCCTGTCTCAGTAAACAAACAAATAAACCAAAATCTGAGGGAAAAAAAAACAATTCCAGAAAGTTCTAAAAGACAAAAATGAAGTTGCTGCACAACTTACAGTAGTATAGTGTAGGCACACTCACGGATTCGTGCCCCCTCAGCCTGTTTCCTTAGTATCTGTTGTTAGGAAATGGTTCACTTTGTTTTCTAATCCATGTGGAGTAACATCTATAGTTGTTTTTGGTGTCCTGAGTATGTAGACTTTTGTCATCCCATAATTCTCTAAGGAACACATTATAAAATATCTATTGGCTTAATACTTATACTGTTCTAGGTATTGTGAGTAATCTGGAGATGCTTTAAAGAATATTGGAAGGCATGTATTAGTTACCTACAAATATTATGCCCCTTTATGTAAGTGACTTGAGCATCAGTGAATTTGGGTATCTTGGGGATAATATATTGGTATCAATTTTTAAGAGCTATGAGAGGATGAAAATGTGTAGTGTGTGTATGTGTACACTCATGAGAAGGAAAGAAGGGAGAAGAGAAAGAATGAAGAATTAGCTGTCATGATTATAAGACTATCAAGTTCCAAGATCTGAAAGGTGAGTCAGCAAGCCTCATACCTAGGAGAGCTGATTGTGCTCCAAAGTAGCATGCAAACTATAGGTGAATATTCATTTGTCTACTCTAATTAGTACATTTAAAGGGCTTTCCTGTGTCTTCATGTCTCAACTCAGCATTGCCAGATGCTGCTTACTAAATCTAATCTGTAGGAAACGATACAAGAAAAAAATTTGCTTGGATTTTCTCCTTTAAAATCGAAGAAACTGGATAGGGAGGTTGCCTAGTGGGTAAAAGACTTGTGAAAGGCAGATGGCCTAAGTTTAAATCCCCAGAACCCACATAAAAGCTGGATGTGGCTACAAGAGCCTGTGCCCACAAGTACTGGCAGGGCAGAGACAGGAAGATCTCAGGAACCTGGTAGCTAGTCAGCCTCGCTGAAATGGCCAGCTTCTTGTTCAGTGAGAACTATCCTCAAAAAAATTAGGTAGAGGACATTGACTCCTCTTCTGACTTCCACATGCTTGAGCATAGTATCTATGTGTACACGCACATACACATGCATACATAAACACACCTACATACACAAAAAACACATACACACATACACACACACATACACACACATACACATACATACATACCTACAAACATATACATACATATACAAACTCACACTAGAGGGAGGTTGAAAAAATGGAAAAAATATGTAGTAGAAACACATTTGCCTTTATAAAATGTTTAAAAATTACTAGCCTTCTGTCTGTATAGCTATGTGAGAAATTAAAATGTCTTTTAATTAAATAGCATGCACTGAGGGTTGTGGAACTCTGTCCTCTAGGCATTGCTTGGCTGTTCAGTCTTTCATATCTTAGCAAGCTATGATTACTTATTCAAGACCCTCCCAAAGCTGTTTCCAGTAATACGTCTTCATGGAACTGGTGGTAAAGACGTTGAGAGGCAGCTCAGGAGAGGCAAGAGTTCCACTTTTCCCTGATGACATTTAAGTGGTCAGTGTAGCTGCCTGTAAGTAATGCCAATTAAACTCCTTAGTTTGCCAACTTGGACTTGGGTTGAACCATCTCCTGGGGCACTGTTGCCCCCTCTTGACTGAATAAAGTGCAACCTGGAGAAACTGTACAGTAAGAAACAGTTCCTGCCTGTTAATGTGAGGTGCTGTGGTGGGGTAAGGAGACATTAAATTGTTCTTTAGTAAAAAAAAAGATTATAGTAAATGCTAAGAAGAGTGTGAACGCTGTGACCAAATATTTAGTAAAAAATACCCAATGTAACAGATTTCGGAGAGGTGAGCTGAAAAGGCGTCAGTGAAAGTGCCAACAGAGGAACTGACATTCCGTGGGTAATTTAAAGGTCAACAAGTGTGAACTAGGTCAAGAACCAAGGGGTTAGAGCTCCACAGAGCAGGAATTGGACAGTCATGAAGTAGACATGGCAAAGTGCATTCAAACAATTAAAAGGTAACAGTGACTGGGGAGTAGTTCAAATGAGAGAGAAAGTAACAAGATGAAGGACAAGATTAAACTTGACTCAGGTGTAAATGCCTTATAAATGGTGTTAGAAGGTCTTACACTTTCTTTTAAGTGTGGTAGGAAGCCACTGAAGATTTTTTTTCTGCATGAAATTTATGCAGAAGCTTCGAGTGCCTCTGGAGGAAATGGATGCTGGCCTCCGTTTCCAAGTGGAAGTTTCCAGAGCATGTATAATTTTAATGTGAGGTGTATTATAAAAGTTGTTACTTCCACAGGGAAATTCCTCTTTCCCAGAAACTTGAATCCTAGCACCAGAAAAGACAATTTCCCTTTCTTCTTTGTAAATACTACTTACGGAGTGGATTTTGCAGGAGTTGTGTTAGCTTTGGGTGTGCTCAACTGCCACAGTGGCCTTGCATTTTTTCATGCATTATACTTTACCTATCCCGTTAAATGAGAGAGCTGTAAAATAAAGGTCTTTAGGCCTAGTCCTTGGAATTCATAGTTTGTGTGTGTGTGTGTGTGTGTGTTTTCCTGATGCTGCTCTTCTGAGGTCAGCACTTAACAGTTCTGATGTTCAACTCAAAGAACACCTTGAGCCTTTGGAGTCGATGGCCAATAACTTCAGCTGAAGCATGGAGAACTTTATAGGCTAGTGTATTTTAACATATCTTCACACACCTACACACATTCACACACTTATACACATACACACATCCTCACACACATAAACACATTATAAGAATTTTGTGTTACATTCTCAGAAAGGAAGTAGGGTGGCAAACTAGTTGGTGATTCTCTTAGTTCTGGTCCTTAATGAGTACTTAATCTCCCCTACAGACATGTTTTAGATTGTTTAAGGGCATATTGCCAGATATCACTAGCGGAATTGCTAATACATTTACTGGAGTGTATTTATACTTATTCTGCAAAGGTGACAAGCTTCCTAGTCTCCTGTGCATGTTTTAAGCCATGGATTAACAGATTAAAATGTTTCTTTCTTTTTTTTTAAATAAATTGTTATAATATGTAACAATTGCTTGACTAATGTGGTGGCCCTCATATAGACACCCTTGTTTAAATACTTGGTCTCTGGTTAGGGGGACTGCTTGAGTAGGATTTGGCTATGTGGCCTTGTTTGAGTGTTGTGGCATTGTTGAAGGAGGTGGGTCACTGGAAGTGGACTTGAAAGTTTCAGAAGCTCCTGCCATTCCCAGTTAGCCCTCCCCCTCTGCCTCTTGGTTGTGGTCTCAACATCTAAGCTCTCAGCTATTTCTCTAGTACCATACCTGCCTGCCTGCTGCCATGATACCCAGCCTGGTAGGCATAGACTCACTCTCTGAAACTGCAAACAACCGCCCCCCTGCACACACACACCATTAAACATTTCTTTTACGAGTTGCTTTGGTCATGATGTCTGTTTGTATCAATGAAGAAGTAACTAAGACAGCTAATAAATTTCCTTTTATTGAAAATATATTCTTTTCTCATATAAAGTATCCTGACTCACATCCTCAGGCGTTCCATTAAAAACATTAAACTGAAAGCTATGATATATATGCAAAGGCTTGGTGCAGATGTGTGTAGGCTCTGTGCATGCTGCTTCAGACTCTGTGAGTTCATATCAGTTTTGCTCGGCTGATTTAGAGGGAGCTAATAAGTTCTTAATGAAGGTAGGCTATGATGTAGCAGATGTAGATTTAGAAGAAGAAGTAGTTGTTGTAGTCGATGTAGAGTGTTGTATAATTGTTTCCTTCATAACAAACATTGACTGGAGGCCGGGGCTGCAAGTGGTAGAGGGCGGATGTGCTACTGAAGGAGAGAGTAAAGAAAGATGCGACTACAGAAGTCAAGGGGTGGAATGAATGTTTTCTGCACCTGAAAGGGTTAGTTTGACTTTTTATTTCCTCCTCATTTGTGTGGAAAATCCTGGTAACACGGTCCTGATTTTGCCTTTGGGGCAGGTGCAGAAGTCTTCTTCAAACATTGTGTGACCCACATCAACCTGAGAAATAACAAGTGGGAAGTCTCCCAGGAGACAGGCTCACCTGAGCAATTTGACCTCGTTATCCTCACCATGCCAGCTCCTCAGATTCTGGAACTTCAAGGTGACATTGTGAACTGTGAGTACGCCTTGCTAGTTACCTACTCAGGGAACACTGGATTGGGAGGGCACAGGTTTGCTCTTCTCTTTGAGAGAAAGATCTATTATCAATTCTACCAATGTTATGTTTTAAAGTGGTTATGGTCTACTTCCTGAAGTCAGTCTAGGCCATAATGAGGCTTACAGAATGTTGTTTTAACTGGTTAGGAAGTCAACAGTTCTCTTCTCACTGCCCTTGGTTGAAAAGAACTTAGTGTTGTTTTTGGCTGTGCTGTAGTGTGGCCCGAAAGAGTCTGTTTAGTCATCCTGTAGAAGAGATGTTCATCGTGGCTTCCTATTGGTTTGCCTCATCTCCTGTCTTCTGCTCTCTGGGTAACTGCTAAGTATTTACTGCTGTTAGATGAAATTGCTTAGTGTCATTGATGAGTAGGTGGATGTGATAGAGGATAGATTGTCCTGATGGAGCTAAAATTATCTTAAAAGAGCAAAATTTATAAAAATTTTATAAGGAAATTCCTTTGTTTGAATAAGAAAAAGGTAAAAGCATTTTCTCCCTAGAACTGACATTTTAAAGAAGGAATTCGGTGGGCCATTGATAAGCAGAGTAACACTTTTTTTTTTAAAATTTTATATAACCAAGTCCATTTAAATGAAAACAAACATTTATAGACAATATTTGGGAATTTGGGCGTCGTTCTTTCCAAACTACTTCCTGCTGGTAAGGGGCGCTGTCATGGGGGATTCTAAGAAGATGCAGAAATCCTGGCTATAGTCTTTAAGGCTGCTTTGTCCAGCTGTTTTGAATGTAGGATCACCTGGTCAGAGTAACACGTTTTGTAACTAAATCTAATATTATTCTTTTATATTCTGGTTTCTTATGCATAAAAATTGTTAAAATATTATAAAGGTTTTGTTGAAAAAGCAAAAATTCATTGTGAACATGGGAAATGTTGATATATTTAGCTGGGTGGTCAGTTTTTATTTATTTATGTACCTGAAACATGACAAGTGGGAAGTCTCCTCAGAAGCCATTCTCTCCAAGGGTTTGAGCCTGTCCCATGGTACCAGTTCTTCCTGTCTCCTAGGGAGGTTGACTATGAATTTCCATCTTCATAGAAAGTAGATAATAAGGGCTGTGAAGGATCAGTCACTCTCAAATCATGCTACGGTGTGTTCGGAAAGAAGGCCAGGAATCCAGCATGTACTACTTTACCTGGAATTTACTCAAGATAGCTTTGAACTCCAGACCCTCCCTCTGATTCATGATCCTGCTACCATGATGGACTTTAACCTCAGTGTGAGCCAGAGGAAGCCCTTCTTCATTAAGCTGCTTTTGTCAGCTTATTTATTGTTGCTGTGGCAACAATAAAGGTGACTAGTGTAGTTAGTGAATACAGAATTGTGATTTCATCTGGAAAAATGGTTGGATATTGGCAATTTCATGTGAGCCAAGAAAAGTACTGTATATAGATTATAAGAGCTGAAATAAAACAATGAGTAAGGACAGTCGTTGGTGATGTGGATTTCAAGTTTTCTTAGGACACTACAGACTACTTTGAAACCAGGCATCGTGGTATGTATTTCATCTCAGCACTCAGGAGTCTGAGTCGAGAAAACTGCAAATGTGAGACTTGTGTGGACTACATAGCAAAGGACTGGCTTACACACACACACACACACACACACACACACACACACACACACACACACACCACTAACAACTTTAGCTGGTACATTGTTGTATGTTGCTTGTATATTTCTTTTCTTTTTCTTTTGTTTTGTTTTTTTGTTTGTTTTGTTCTGTTTTGTTTTGATTTTTGGTTTTTCAAGACAGAGTTTCTCTGTATATCCCCAGCTGCCCTGGAACTTGTTTTGTAGACCAGGCTCTCCTCAAAGTCAGAGATCTGCCTGCCTTTGCCTCTCAAGTACTGGGATAAAGGCGCGTGCAACCACTATCTGGCTCATAGGTGTGTTATTTCTGATTATAGTGGTATTCATTTTTTCACAAATTACTGAAAAGTCTTTAATAGCCAAGTCTTTCAGTTTTATCTTTTGAAACAGAACTTAAGTGTTGCGATTGATTTAGTGTTATTGATTCTAGATAGCTATCTTGCTGTAATTTGTAACTTAGCTGGTAGAATTTAAAGATCATTTTTAAAAAATGTAGTTGCTTGCTGTGTCTTTTCCACTCCTGTTTTCCTAGGATTCTCCTTAGGATCACACAAACCATGGGCCATCTGTAACGAGTACGGTTTTTCTGCCCACCGCCAGTCTTGTCCCTCCGCCACGCCTGCCCCAATTAATGCACAGAGACTCTGTATTTGATATTATGCTGTTGGCCTGGTTACTTGTTTCTTATTGGCTAGCTCTGTCTTAATTATTAACCCATTTCTGCTGATCTATGTATTTCTCTTACCGGGGAGTGGGGCAGGCGTCTGATCTCCCCAGTCTCTCCATCTTGGCTCTCCTTACTACTTCCTATTTCCTCCTTGTCTCCTAGTCCCTCCTATCTTCCTTTCCTATTGGCCAACAGTGCTTTATTATTAACCAGTATGAGAAACATATACAGAATGACATCTCCCATCAACCATCAGTCTCTATCTAATGACTAAACAAATGAAAGAGAATTAGGAATTGCAACTTGAAGGGCATTTGATATAAAGAGAGAAACTGCTTTAGAGAGGACCAGTTCTTAGCAAAAATAAAGTTGGATATAGAAATGACTTTTAAATATGGGGGACTGAAAATAGATTATCTTGGCAGGAGAGGCCTTGTAGTGGGAATTTCAGGATATAAAAGTAGATATGGATTTGGAGGAGTGTGTGATGTGCTTTGAATCTTAACATTTGTTGAACAAAGCAGGGAATGTTAATTCATCAGGAAAACTGAATCAATCTTTGAAAACTTGTTTAGGCACATTGGATGAAAATTAACTTTACTTAATTGGATTTGAAGAAAAAATACTATTAGAAATTAATGGAGTATTATTGAAAGGTCTTTTAACCTTAACATAAAATCATTTTAAAGTGATACTTAAAATATCAGTAAGCTATGCTACAAAGTCTGTGATCTTAGTGTACAGGTATGACTCCTTCCTAGAAAGAGATGAACTGTCTGTTCTCTGGAGGTGGACACTGATAACATGCCAGATGAATATATCTCCCCAAACATAGCTTGGTGAGCCAAAGAATGTCCTCTATTGACTTACTTAAGCATGGCTGACTGGAAGTCAATGGCATTAAAAATAAATAAATAAATAAAGCCAACCCAGTATGGGTGACAACTCCTCAGAGATGTATTCCTGGAGCTCACTGTTCAACTTGCAAGCATTTCTACCAGAGACTTCAACTTGCCATTGTTAACTGCATTTATGAGTTTATGATCGCAAGGAGGAGCCTTTTAAATCTTGTAATTTTCAGAGCTTCCTGGGCCTTCTAAGTTTACCTAGCTTCTTTAGCTTTATGGGCTTCTTGTTTCCCACTCCCCACAAGAATTGAATGTTTCAATGTGGAGGAAAGGGCTACTAAGCATGCACTTTGGAATATGATAAAACATTGCCCTAGTGAGTACACGGATGCTCCTTTTTAGAACTTCTAGATCTTTCTGTTATAAAATGAACAAATCAGGTCAAATAGTTTACCATAAAGTAATTCAAATGTTTGATTTGTCTTTGACATTGTTTTGTAAAGAGTTTGACTCAAAGCACAGGACACGGTTCTTTCGTTGGCCCAGCAATATGTTTCATTGCCCTTTTAGCCTGAAGGTCTCCATAGGACAGGAAGGAATTCCATTTCTCTATGGATATAAATGATTGTGCCTAGCTGCCTACAAGCTTCTGAACAGAGATCTCAGTCGTAGAAGAACCCATTAATAGTAATTCTCTTTGACTTTTGCCTTTTATACTTACCTCATCTACTTGTCTTTAAAAATACAGTGGTTGCAAAACCACAGATTTGGATGCATTTCTACTAATTTTTCTATCTCTAAATGCTAGAAGAACAGCCTAAAGTCCAGCTTTTCCTCTGTGCAAACACAGTAGTCACCAGAAACAGAAGAGGTGGCCATAGCTGTTGGATGTGAAGTATTCCCTGAAGGATCATGCATTTCATGTGGGGGTCCACAGCTGGTGAAACTATTGGGGAGCTGGTGACACCTGAAGGAAACAGAGTTTCTCTGGAGCAAGTACCCCACAGAGGCAGGTCTTCATGTTTATAGACAGGATGTTTCCAGTCTGTTCCCTCTTCCCTTTCCCCTGAGATGTAAAGATCTGAGTCTGCTCCTTACTCTGACAGCAGCCACAGAGGCCCTTTCATCATGCCTTCTCCACCATAATGGAGTATACACTCAAAGAATTATAAAAAAATAAGTCCTTTCTCTCTGCCTCACTTCTCATCAGGTATGTGGTCACAGCCACAGAGGAAGGAAAAGTCCTCATTTGGGAGTTGCTGGACACCTGGCATACCATTGCTTATGCTCATTTCCCATCTGTGGTCCCAGGCAAACACAGGGGGATTTCCTACATCGGTTCCCCTCTGAGACCAACTAGAAGATTCTGATGGATCTAACATCAAATACATTTTGTGACTATGAAGTTAGCATCTCTATACATTGTATCACTTTTCATAAACAACTCATAAGAAATATTGCCCCCAGTTTACAAAAGAGGAAAGAGAGACCCAGAGAAAATAACTAACCTACCTGGTTACTACCCAACTGAAGAGAAGGCCATAGTGTGGCCTTGATGTGTACTTCCCTCAGAACTCAGGACTGTTTTCCGTTCAGAATGCTTTTATAGCAGAAAGCTTTTAAAAGAGATATCAAAGCTAGAGTTAATGTGAGAAGAAAGAAAGGAGAGCTAGCATTCACTGAAATGCATCATTACCATCAACTGAGTCATTGAATCAAATTAAACATTTTTCCACTCTGAACTGACGAAGACATTTTAAAGATAGAACACATTTGAGAACTAAGATGTTGGCTTTCTGGCACAAGTTTTTGACAATTCATATAAATGTGATG